TTAACTGGGACGAGGAAACCCGGTCTTGCTCTTGCAAAAAAAGCAAGCTTTAGTTAAAAAATGTCGATAAATTAAAGCACATGAGAATCAACAGAGCCCAAATAAGTAACGTAAGACGGAGAAACGCCAGAAGAAAAAACAACCATGGACGACTAAAAATTTCCTTGACCTAATGGGCGATAAAAGAAAACTATAAATAAACAAAGGCGAAGCAAACCCAAAAGCAGATTAAAACAGCCCTAAAGAAAACTAGAGACGAATTACTGAACAACAGCTCTGGAGAAATTTAAGCACTTTTCGGTTTGATTTGTTTTGGGTTTGATGATGATGACATGAAATTCTGTCTTTTTTAAAGACAAAAACTTTGAGGCAAATTACCCAAAAAGAAGTTTGTAAAAAAATATAATTTACACCCCTTAACTGTGCCTAACTATTTGAGCAAGCCAGCTAATAATTTGGAAAAACTTTCCAAACAACAAAAAACTTTTGAGGCGAAATACCCAAAAAGAAGTTTGTAAAAAATACCCATATATTTACAAGCAAATGAAAATAATCATATTTACTCTCCTGCAAATGGATTTAAAATTACGTCTCTGTGAGAAAATGATATGAGATAACGATTTTTCTTCTTGGAAAACGGTGAACGAAAAACGAACACTCGAATATCTAACGAATACGAATAGAAATACTCGAATATTCGTTAGATATTCGAGTATTTGAATAATTTTACTATTCGAATAAACCACTAAACGAATATTCGAATCTCAGATTTTAAAAAATTCCGAGCCCTGCTGTAGACGGTCTTTCTTTTCCAGTAAACTGGAAGCGTTCACCATTTAATCTAGATGAAAAAGGCTCTATTGTTTGAACAGACGTTCGACTCTCCTTGTGCAAAATAGTGGACATCATAGAGAAAGTAAAATATAATTTTACTTACTCTATGGACATATTTAATAAGTTGTTGGCGGTAAAAAGTTGCCGGAAATGGTCAACCACATGCAACCCAAAACCAATAAACCCCCCGAAGGTCGCGTACTTTGCGACAATTTGCAAAACATTATTTACATCGGCCGTCCGGCCGAATTTATGTATTTATGTCGCGTCCGTTCCCATGTTGGTCTTATCTGATACAAGCGCTATCTTATGCGGCGATCGCCATCGTAAGCCCACATATTTTGGATTCCCTTTTTTTTATTTCGGGCCCGGAGCGCACCCCGCGGCGAGCGCCCGTTCTATCTGATGTTTAAATTACCTTCGCCTAAGACAAAAGGTACACTATTCGCCTCTATATGATTTCTCATTTGCCCCGACTGCACGTTCGTTGCATTCTTCCAAACTCCTAGTGGCGTTTGAACCACGAGCGAATTTTCAATATCCGAAATGATTGTTGAAAAACTGTTGAAGCCCTCAATCACCTGGCATAGTCAAAACCCACACTTTCCAACCAAAAAAAACGGGAAAAAAATCCTCGGAACCACCATTAAAACACAAACAAAAAGCTGGCCTAATTGGTCTTCGATAACCGCATCGATAAAAGACACCAATTTAAAAAAATGGGACAGTTCAAAATGTATAACTTCCTGTAGCCCAGGTCCTTAAGATCTATAAGAGCGATAAACGGCGATTGGTTGATATCGATACCCGAAATTAACACCTTGGAGGTGCCAGGTCGAGTTTTGCTCTGAAAATTGCGTTGCATTTGACTTGTTAATGGGGGTTTTCGGGGGAAATTGACGGAAATTTCGTGCGGACAGGCCAACGGATAATTTGCACTTTTACTCTTTTACTTCTAAATTTACGGCCTCGCCCCTTCCAACCCCAGTACAACTGCTTGCTTGGTAAAATGATACTTACATACTGTAGAAATCGGCAAGTTTGCAGGCAGGAGCACATGGAAAAAATGGGAAAAACATTAATTGTTTGATTGGCAAATGTACACGCAACTTTCTCCAACGGTCCACCAACAGCCTTTGCCCCGACCTTCTACATGCATACGATAATTTCGGAAATAATCAAGATATCAAACATGTAAAGAACCTTAGTTTTAGTAATGATAGTAAAGCGGTAATAACACACCTGCCCGAGTTTGAGCCCGTGGGGCCATTTAAAAAGAAGCGTCTCGTTTCCTCTTATCGAACCGAGGTATTTCAGATTGGATTTAGATAGTCGTTTTAACGTATTATGACGTGTTGAGACAGCCGGTTACGGAAGCTTCTTGCTCGGTTATTTGTTGATTTCAAAATTCGAACGGAATTTTAAGCTCCTCTATTTATTGAGAGCAAACTCAAGGTGTTGGAAAGGTGACTGGTTCGTTACTCTTGGAGACCCAAAGTAACCAATTGCCAAGTCGCAAACGATGTGACTACTTTGACTACTTAAGTCTTCGTGTTTAGTTGCTACGCTTGAAATCGGATTATTTGGTGTTTCAAGTACGCCCAACTTGCAAATTGCTGCAAGTTTTCCTATAATTTTCATACTCATCGGATCGCGTATATGGAAGATCTACCTCAAGTTACTCTTGGCGATGGCGCAATCGGAAACTTTCAGGGCTTATCAAGCAGAATTTGCTTGGTTTGAAAGAGAAACTTTCCTGTTTCTACTTTTCCCCATTTCGAAACCAAGTTTTTCTTTGAAACCACCGAAAACCGTCCCAACACTTTTGTTGGCAATGAAGCAAATACTGCACTTATCGCAATTATTCCTTGCTTCAGGGGCGGGAGAAAAATGATCGTCGCTTTGTGCAAGGGTGGCGCAAAATTATTGCAAAATTTCATGTTTTCCGTCCGGTTTTGCATGTTTCTCTGAAGCAAAATGAGCAAGAACGCCCATTTTTACATCATTTCAGAGATAACTAAATGGCCTGTATTCGAAGTTTCTCAAGAACCATTCGAGCCACAGAATTCGTTTTGGCATCGTTGGATAGAGAATTGAAAAGTCGATTCAGTCGTAACAAAGTGA